AATATCGGGTCCCTCAAGACGTCCACAGCCTGGAGAACTTGCGAAGCCAATGTCACCTGTTTACAAGAAACGCGCATTGGCACTTACGGGTTACACCACGCCTCCAAGACTGTTGAGCAACATGGCACATGCCTTTTTCATGGCCGCCCTCTCCCCGGGTTGTTATCAACGCATGGTGTGACAAGAACGCCTCACGGAGGTGTGGCCATTCTTGCTGCCAGAGAACTTGCCACAGAATTTCGACCACAAGAAGATGCCACTGGGCTTTACGACCAGCTCTTTGCAACACGTCGGGTCACTGCGTGCTGGGTCCAAGTTCAGCCTACTCTCAAATTGCTGGCCTTCTCCTTCTATGGTAAAACTGGTGCTTCTGCCGACAAGGCAATTTTGGAATTTAATGACAACATCCTCAGGGACATCTTGACAGTTGCGAGCCAATTTGGCGATGTTCCAGTTGTCATAGCTGGTGATTTCCAAGTTGCTCCTGAACACTACACTGCGGTTACGCATGCTGTTCACTATCACCAGTGGTGTGACGTTTTGCAGTATGCGGATGAGGATGGAGGGTTCAGACCACTTACCTTTTCATCAAATGGGTGCTTCACAGGCCCTGGAGACGGATGCAGTTGCATTGATGGGATCATCACAAACTCTGTTGCAACAGCAGCCCTTATCAATGCCGAGGTCTTGCCGTACCTCCGGGTCCAACATCGGCCTGTTCGCGCCTCGTTCAATTGGAAGGTTGTTTGGCAGAGAGGTTTTACCTTATTCAAACCTGCTCCCTTTGCTTTTCCACCTTCCTTTTCGAGTGACAGCACATGTGAAGATGTTTCTAGCTTGCACCATCTTACTGATGTCAACCAAATCTGGCGTGAAGCCAACCAGCAATGTGTAGATGCCCTCACCCAGGCAGGCGCAACTTGGGGGCCAGGTCCCCAACAAAGAGGTGTTCTGGTCCAGACTCGCCCCAAAAGTGTTTGGCCAGGTCAGTGTCGTTCAGGTTTCGCCACTACCACACGCAGCTCTTGGCTCATCAATGCTTTGAAAGGCCTCCTGGAGATACAGGCATTTCATTCGCAGGAAATTTCGTCAGGGATCAGACATGTCATCGCTTGGAGAACCATTGCTAAAGCATGGACTAGGTTGTTCAAGTTGCGCGCACCATGCTTGTGGCCCTGTCATTCGTGGCCTACTTTGGTCGAAATTGTCACCGCAATCCAATTGACGCAAGATGCACTTGCCACCTATGAAATCAAACTTAAGCTCCGACGCATCCAGCGTTGGAAAGACAAAATCCAAGACTCGGCTCGCATTGGGTCAGCCTTTGTCTATAGGCATTTGAAGAATAAAACAACCGAGGTGCCACCGAACCTTGTCACTGATCCCTCTGGCAATGTTATCGCAGCACCAGCTGATGCCATTGCGGAAATCAACTCCCAATGGGATGAGGTTTACAGTGCCAATCTCGGGTTCCCCCATCCCTTGAAAATGTTGGATATTGTTTGGCCTCACATCCATCGTTTTGCAGTTGACTACCCAGTGCCCGACATTTCTGCAAGGGCTCTCAGGGACGTTGTTAGAAGCCGGAGGAAAGATGCAGCCCCTGGCCTCGATGGCTGGAGAACCATCGAAATGCAGATGCTGCCTGAATCTTGCTTCGAACCGTTTGCCCACATGTTTCGGCTCATTGAAGAGACCAATGCTGGTCTTCCCAAGATGCTCGCCACAGCCAAACAGATCATTCTCAATAAGAACGGGAGTTCCGAACCGTTACAAAAGAGACTGATCACGCTGTTGCCGGTTGTACTCCTTGCCTACACAGGCGCTCGTTTTCGACACCTACGTGGTTGGCAAATGCGGGCTATGCCACAGCAGCTTCAGGGTGGTATCCCTTCTAGACAGATGTCCGCTATCCACACCAACCTCGCCCTTACGGTTGAGCAGGCCAAATTCGAAGGTACGCCGTTAATTGGCATCAAAATCGACAAGGCTAAGTGTTTTGACCGCATCATTCCCCATTACGCCGGTGCCCTTATGCTTGCCTTTGGGGTTGCAAAGTCCATTGTTGCGGTGTTTCTCAAACTGTATGACCAACTTGATAAGCATTTGCAGTTCAAATCATGGTTCGCACCCCAGGCCACGCATAGCCCCAATGGTGTGGCCCAGGGGTGTTCGCTATCCCTGGTCGCGATTAATGTCCACATGAAAGCCTGGGTCCACCTGCTAGCTGTCCTCCCTGAGGTAACAGCTCAGGCTTTTGTTGACGACGCCTACCTTTGGGTCAAGTTAATACATCAGAGCAAACTCGACCTTGCCATCCAGATCACGCAGGCATGGGACGCTTTAGTCGGCCAAGCCATGAATTGGAGTAAGTGCACGGTATGGGGATCCACAGCGGCAGCCCGGAAATCTGTCCGCTCCCTGTTTCCGCAAATGCAATTTGCTTTAGAACTTGAAGTGCTCGGCGTCCAGATCCAAACCAGTGATAAGCTTACTACACACTTTGGCGAAAAGAAATTTGCCAAAATCATCGCCGACATCAAAAACATTGCTGTTTTGCCCATCCCTTTGCGTCAGAAAGCACGGCTCCTAGGGGCTAAGGTTATCCCTCAATGTTCGTATGTCGCTGCCTTAAACCAGATTCCTGGACGCATGATTCCGCGCATCCAAGCTGAGATTGTCAATGTTTTTTGGCATAAACGACCTCACTGGAGATCAAGGTTTTTGGTCTTAGCTTTGCTCACACAGCCACACCGTGTCGATCCTGTCTGCGCTCGCCACTACAATGTCATTCTCGACTGTTATAGATACTTGCAAATGTTTCCGAGCGAGCAAACTCGTTTTCGAGCGCTTTTGGGAAATGACAGCCATCAACGTGCCACCATTACTCAGTCCCTTCGCCAGGCATTTCGGTTCTTCAGTTTCGACCTTGATCCGTCCGGTCTCATCTCGTTTCGTGGTCGGCCAGTCGTTGATTTTTTGGCTTTGTCCCTCAAAGACGTCAAACCCATGTTGAAGCAAATGGCAGTGCAGGCGTGTTACGCACAAGCTTCGCTGCAATCCAGGAAAGACTTGCAAGCACCCGCGGGTGTCATTGACCCGCATCTTTCGCGCCTTTTTCCCCAGAACACTCCCGCTGAAGCTTCAACAGAGGATATTCCCATGCATGCTTATTTTGAGGCTCAACTTGTTGGCTGCGTTCTTACCAATGATCGGCTTGCAGCAGCTAAGTTAATCGATGAGCCCAAATGTCGCATGTGTCATGCTGCCAAAGAGTCTCTCCCCCACCTTGTCAGGGAATGTCCGGGCATCTTGGAAGAGAACCCTCCGCCGGTCGCTCATGATCTTGGTCGTAATTTTGAACTTTTGGGTATCGTGGAACACCCTTGGTCCGTTTTTCGTGCACGTTGCCAGGTCTCTGATCCCACGAGTGTCAGGGCCCCTGTTTGGTCTCCCCCTTTTCAGATGCATGAACTTTGGACAGATGGGTCGGTGCAATGGCCCGAGCACTTCCTCATCACATGTGCTGGGTTTGCCGTCGTGAACTGCACCGGGGATGTCATTTCGTCGGGTCCAGTACACCAATGGGCCTTGAGCAGTTACACTGCTGAGCTGTGGGCGGTTTTTGTTGCCTTCAGTGAGTCAGCTCAACCAGTTCAGATCAACAGCGATTGCAAAACGCTTGTTGACCACATTCACACGTTCGTTCAAAAACAACACGTTGAACCAAGTTGGCCGCACCAACCTTGGTGGCATGCTCTTGCTACCACGTGGAAGGAAAGGAAGTGTGTGTGTGTGCGGTACCCCTGAGTGCCAAATGGATCCCTGCTCATAAACTCGAATCCATCCCTGAGCAAATGATTGACGAAGATATGGCACGGGCCAATCATTCTACAGTCATTGACATTGTGCACAACCGTAAGGCCGACCAAGCTGCTAAGGGAGCTGCAATGATGCATGCCTTGATTGATCCTGCCCTCTATGACACTCTTTGCCATGCCGTCAAAGTTGGGCATGTTTGGTTGGCCCAACTTTGTAAGCTTTGTGGGCAGGAAACCGCTGCCTACTCTGAAGACACGGACAACGAACGCCTTGATGACAACCAACCAGCTCATGTACTGTTCCCTCTGCTTCCTTGGAGGGCTCAGGAAAGTGACTATCCTGTGCGGTTCGGGAGTTGTTGGCCCGTGCAACCACCAAGAGGATGGAAATCCACTGTTGATGACTGGTCCCAATTTGGTTGTTTTATCTCGAGCCTCCGCTGGCGGGAACAAGCTGATCTGCGCATTTCGTATAATGAACTTGCCATTCTTTTTGTGTACCGCAAATTCAAGTGTCAGTGCCTTAAGGATGAGTTCTGCACCTATGCGCAGCTCACTGGATGGTTGAAAAATGCTTTTGCTGTGTGCCGCCGGCACCTTAACCTAACTTTGTTTCCAGGTGAACACGCTGGACATGTCGCCCACACTTGGGGTAAGTCTATGCCACCAGGATCCATTTGCGGTGGACGCCCCTTTGTGTCGGATGATGAACTGAGTTTCTTGGTGGTCATTTCGAAGCGTATTGCTGGATCGTCAATGTCGCAATGGTGCTTCCCGATTAAAAGATGTGGTTGTGTGACTTCTTTTTGTTGTGTACAGTGGACATTTTCGAAAGCCATGCAGTGGAATGCTGCTGGCTACGCGTGAACCAGATTGGGAGCTGATCGCGCGAGTGAGGTAGAAGACCTTTTACAATCCAAATTGAATGGTCATTCATCTGGCGACTCTGGGAAGTCTGAGACCTTTGATCCGCCCACCCGTGGAAATCCCTTCCAAATGAGTCCTTCATTGAACCTGTGTTACTTCAACCGGAAGATGCGCACCAACAACAGACCACGGCACCTCCCTGTGGTCACCCGGTCACCCGGCCGGCGCGTCGAGGAGGACGAGCGGTCCACACGCCGGGTGTCCGCCACGCAGCGGGGCTCGAGCGGACTCGAGCGGACTCGGCTGGTGCAGGACCGGCAAGATGTCTTGGTCTTCCAAGCCACAGGAGAGAAGAGGCGAGGCGAGGGACGCTCCTTTGTTCATGACGGAGTCCCGAGTCGGTGGACAGTGGAGATGGTGGACTTGGGTCGCGGAAAAGTGGAAGTTTCTACGCTTTTTTTGGGGGGATTGGTTTCCCCAGTCAACAAGAACAGCTGGACAGTTTGACTATAATCGTGTCCTTTTTTCTCAGGAAAATGGCTCGGAAGCCACTTATGGAACGTTCTATTAATTGGCAGATGTTCCTTTAACCTTGTTTAAAAGGAGCGACCTGCTGGAGACCACCTTAAGTGGAAATGAAGGATTCCCTTGTTCCGTCCACCGCCCCAATTTGAGTGGTGCGTTTCAAAACAGTGGGGGGGGTCAAGACAATGATGGAACCCATTGTAAGGGTCCATAAAGACACATCCAATCAAGAGTAATCAAGACATTCAAATCAAAACACGTTTGGTGTTTGTAAAGGCTTTCAGGTTTCGTGCCCCAGGTTGGAGCCCGTTGGTTACATGGCTAAAAAAGTAGAAGCACATTATGGGTGTGTCAGAATAGGGAGACCCTGGAGCAAGGACGGACCTTCTAATCAAACACCTGAGACAATTATATATATATATAGATTCTATGTGGAACCCCTACCCAAAAAAAAACACGTGAGTCGACACTTTCTCAGATTTGTGTACTTCAATGTGTTCGCCTTCACGACTGCATCAGGCGTTGATGGGAGTTTGGTTGGCCATGGTTGGCCCGTGTTCTCTGAGTTTTTGAGTTCCACAGGGAACACTGAAGGGAATGCAACCCGTGGCTTTGGTGCTTTCAGAATTCCGTCAGGAGGGCGAGCACGACTGGGTGAGTCAAGAACTAGTTGGCAGAGGGTCGACCATGCAACATCATGCAAACCAGTTTCAGAGTTGCTTTTCCCACGATTCAGTTGTGGCTGCGTGAGGGTCTTCGTTTGCGGTGGGCATGTGTTTTCGTTTCGGGGTTCGGGTTTTCCGTTTTGCCTGGACTTCAGAGGGCAGGTTTTCCCATCGATTCCGTCTGAAGTTCCCTGGCAGAGGTGGCAAATCTATCATCCACCACAGATCGGCGACGTGGACCCTCTTCGCCGTGGAAAGGATGGAGACGTCACCTGGGTCGTGTGGAGACCGGGCATTCCGGGCTTTCTGAAAGGTGGTTGATGGACCCGGGGTCCGACCGTAAGGAATTGGTGAAGCCCAAGAGCATGAGATGTCATATTATCCCTAGGGCTCCAACCACCTCCTGAGAAGGTGGTTGGGTTGGGTTTGGGGGGTCTAACCACCTTCTGAGGATATGGTTGGAGCCCTAGGGTATATCATCATGACCTTCGGGAGTCTCAGAGTGACCTGAAAAACGTGTCAAGTTCGGTCACTCTGAAGGGTCCGGAGTTGATATCTATCGGATGACCGGTGGGTCTGACCGGAAGCCAGCCTGTCTCACCTGCTGGCCGGTGCCGGCAGTGGCCGGACCTGTTTGTGTTTGTGGTTGTTTTCTTCTCGGAGGACTACGTTGTTTGTATAGTATAGTAGTGTGTTTTCTGTAGTATTTTTCACATCTATGTGGTTGTTTTCGATGTTGCGAATCCTCAACACTCCATGTAACAGGGGTGGTTGAGAAAAACCCGGGGTCGGGGCGACCAGCTGTCCATTGCCCTCGGTGTTAGGCTTTCCATAGTTCTCGTTCAATCCGACCAGTCGCCTTCAAGAACCAAATACGGGCAGGAATCAATCTGGGGTGTCGTGAACTATGAGGCCATGTTTTCATGGGCTAAAGTCACCAACATGTCAGAAAGGTGAAGCCCATTTTTTTTGCGTGTACCTAGACTTGTCAGTCCCTCAACATGTCAAAACTCAAATTAGCCAACAGGGTTTTGGTTGATGTACCATGTGCAAGTGATTTCAATCAAAAAAGATCAATCAAGACACCCATGTGCGCAACGACTTTTCGAAGTCATTGTTGCTTTTCTGGCATCTGCAACTCAGACATCCACATCCAATGAATGGCTAACCAGCCCTCTCCTACTTTTCAGGTGATGGAAGACCTTGGCAAGCCCTTGCTGGATGTGGTGCTGGAACCTGGAGACGTCCTCTACGCACCTCGACTTCACCACTTCCAGGGGCTCGGCCCTTTGGGTCTGAGGATCCGATTGGTGTTGCCTACGGTACAAGTGAAGAGTGGCGACTCTATACAACAACTCTTTGGACGATCCCGTTTGGCCTCCAGTCGTACCGAACCTGAGGTTCAGTGGGACTGGCGTGGGTGCCAGGAGGCTCCAAATACCTGAGTAGGTACTTGGAGGCGCAGGGAATATGATGGAGAAGTGTGAACTTCACACTAGTAGGCATAGAGTACGCATAGCGTGCATCAGCAGCATGAGCGCGCCCCATCGGGCAAAGCATCCCATGCCTATATGCATCTAGAAAGAGGCTGGTGGCCAAGTACCACAAGCAGAGGGGAAGCAGATGGTCGGTCAAGCAGAACACTGTTCACTTCGGAACAACACCAGACCCTGATCGTCGAGCACCGAAATCCAGCCCGAAGACTCCAGCAAAAGGTCGTCACTTGCTGCGGAGGCTCCGGACTCAAAGCATCAGGTGTACTAATTACAGTGGTTTTCAGAGGTTCGATGGCACTGGCACCCGAGGATGTCTTGTAGATGGCGATCCATATAATCCACCCACCTTGGGGATTGTGCCTTCATGTGCCATCTATTCTGAAACCACCAGGGTCGAACATACGCATCGCAATGGTTTCTCCGCGGTCGTTCGCCTAGGTGCCCTTGGGCTATGGACACAGCACCTCCACCGCCCAGTTGTCCGGGCAACTGGATTGACGGTGAGTTGTATGCGGAGCGATGAATCAAACCCCTCATTTGGATTGGCACGAAAAAACCTCTTCTATACATGGGAGTGGGTCCTCCAGAGTCGTCTACAGTATGCCGCGGAAATGGCACGTGAACCGTGAGACCTGTACGGAGCACCGGGATGGCCAAAGATGCTGCAGTCATGCGGCCCCCCCCAAAGAGTGGAAGCTTGGATGATACATGTACATTCATAGAACTATCATGGAACTATATATGATAATATGTTAATTATATAACTAATTGTATATATAATACACAATATGCATTGTACGATGATGTATACGGATCATTGAATATATAGTTTAAACATATATACATAAAATATGTCCCTAGGGCTCCAACCATCTCCTCAGAAGGTGGTTAGCACCCCAGGAGGTGGGCCAGGAGCCCTAGGGTGTATACACTAATACCTGGAAGATGTTGGGGCCAGCGGAGGCTAGTCCAGCCAGATGACCCGGGTGGCTGCTGAGGCCTTCCTTGCACATCACCTTGAATTTGGACTCGGTGATTTGGGGCCTGTCCTACAGGCCTACTCGGCATGAAATCTCTTCTTAGGTGTGTAGTTAAACCTACCAGAAACTAGACCTTGACCTTGAGTAATTTCCAGTTGAATTGACTAGACATGTGCACACTAAGCCCTAAGAATCCGGGCCCGAAACCAACACAGGGTTTGGTTTGGGTCCGGACCCCTGCGTTTCGGTGTCGGGTCCCTTCGGATTCTATAGGGGGCCGGGTGAGAGCCTCCGCAGGCTTCTTTGGTCTGCGAGCCTCCGCTGTGCGCGGCTGCGGCGGGGAGAGAACGACGAGGAGGGGATGGGAAGGGTGGGCGAACAGGTCTCCCGTGGAGGCTTAGAGACTTAATTAACCCTAGGGCTCCTGGCCCACCTCCTGAGGTTCGGTGGTTGGGGTGGGTGCCAGGGGGGTCTAACCACCGAACCTGAGGATATGGTTGGAGCCCCAGGGTAAAGGTAGGTAGTCACCTTTGGGACTTCGCTGATGGATGGTTGACCCTAATTACAGCCATATTTGGTTGGTTGAATCACAGAGAGGAGGATGGGGAGGAGGCCTCAAGTGCACAAACAATGGTATCGTCCCCGACGCTCCATGTATGGAATATATGCCCTCGGTTCGGTTGACTACCTTAATGTGTATATAAGTATGTCAGTGCCATGCAATGTTTGGAGTATGGTACCTTCCACCTTCTACCATTCCATCATGAAACTCCATCCTTTTACCATTCAAGACATCATGCAAAGTGCACTGTTTTCATCATCAGGATCCACCTCTTTCAAACTGGGACTGGAGAGATCAACTTCAGTTGCACTCAGAGGGCCGCAATAAGCGACACGCTGTTGGTCGCTCGCTCTTCGCTCAGCGATTCGCGGCGCTCAGCGTTGCCTGAAGTCCAAACAGAGTTGCCTAAGGAGTCGGGTGCTGGTAGACTGAATTGGTTGGGACTGTAATATAGATATATGTACCCTAGCCTAGGCCTCCAGTCGTATCTTCTGAGGTTCGGTGGGACTGGGGTGGGTGCCAGGAGGGGCCAGTCATACCTTCTGAGGAGGTACGACTGGAAGTGTAGGGATATATGCCTATAGAACTCAACCTCTGTTTTGCTAGCAGAAAAAAAGACATGGTTTGGCTCCAAACAGGGGGTCAATCAGGTTTATAGGTATATTATACACCTTGCAGCCTTTTGGATGTCTCCGACCATGACCGTCTTCTCCAGGCAGAAGAAGCTACCAAGACCAAAGGCTGCATTGGCCCGGGGTTGGATGGATTTGACCACAGGGATGTTACGGGTTCGATCTGATCTTGCACCCGGATGGATCTTGGACCGATCTTTACAAGGTGTGCGACCCGCAACCCGCCAGCAACAGCAACGGTGTGCGCAACGAAGTGGTAGACTCTCGATCTCCCAATGATGTCCTGAAGAGCCTTGGGATTCCAACAACCATTGTGTTTGATGGTCTTGACCAGAATCATACAACCATGGATTATGTAAGGATTTTTGACTACAACATAGGCAATCTTTCTTTTGATGGTCTTTGAAGGATACAGTAGGCACGAACTGGAGCTTTCCAGTTTGCCATACTTTCACGGAGGGTGCAACTTTCAAGGTGAAAGAGAGAACGTACTGCTCCAGCCTCCTTTTGCCCTTCCAAAAATGGGCTGCCCTTCAAAAAGGGTCCAATACAAGAACGAGGTCTTCACCTGTGCCACTGTCAGTTGTTGATGGAAGGGCATGCACAACCAGGTTCAGCTCCGTGTTATGCTGAACATGGAAGGCCTTCTCCCAGCATGGTGGAGGATTAGGGATCAAGTGGGTTGTGCACTTGTGAAGGGCCCTTGTTCATGCCGGAAGAGAAGAACTTTCACTACATCGGGGAACTGCTTGGTCCCTGCTGCATTGGTGGACATAAGGGAATTTGGTAAACCTCCCAGGGTAACTGGCCAAAGATGATCAAACGCAGACAATCCATTTATGGAATCATATGGAATAGTTACCTGCATAATACATAGGGGTCATACATTGAGTCGGTATATGTATGTATATGTCTATGTAACTATTACATACATGCATGGTGTGGAAAAGATTCTGTTTGTTGGGGACTTGTTTGCTTCCCCCGTCCATGTTCTTCCGTTTCGAAACAGGAGGGGGTTCTTCAACCCGAACCCGTCCATCCTCTATTCTCACCTCCTTGCACGTCAAAGTACCGCTGTCTATATAAGCTATATATATAGAGACTGAAGAGCGATGGCCTCCAACCTAAGAGCGATGGCCATCAACCTAGTAGGGAGGGGAGTGGGCTTTAAAAGCTATATATGGCATCTACTGGATACTGGACATCGGCAGGCGCCCCGTCCAGACGGGTCTAGTGCAGTCTATGTTTGGGATCGTTTGGGTCTCCAACTAGTGAGCTGGAGAGTCAACCAGAAGGAAATTCATTGGACAATCGCCCCACCTCACGAAATGATCCAAGTTCAACGGTTTGAGTGAACGGCGCCAGGGATGTCTTGGCAGCGCTACAGTTCCTTGCAAGCGCCGCTTCCTTTGGGTCTCGGGCAGGAAGGCGCACTCCGAAAGAACGTTTCGTGATTGCCAGGGCCTGAAGCTCAAAGCCGGTTAGCTCGTAGGAACCAAACATGAGTAGAGGCAAGAGGGGGGGTTGAAGATTCTTTGGAAGGTTCTAGAATGTGCGCAGTTCATTCGGGGCTATGTGACACCTATTTCCAGAATGGGGTGTAGGTCTAATGCCAACGACTTCAGGATCCTTGGGATGGAGTCGTGACTGATACCTTCTGAGAAGGTAGAACTGGAGCCCATGCGGGATCCTTTGGGCAACAAAAACGTGACTTGGTGGACCAAAGATCCTCATATCGTGCGTCGTTTATCCAGCCATGGTATTTGAGGCGTTTTTCCCGTTGCAGGAGAATACTTCCATCCCACGCAAGAGCACCTATAGCCGTTCACCCTGCCTTTTCCGCCTCGGATGCCCAAGCACACCACCGCTCGCTGGCCTTTGAGGTCCATCCAGGCATCCATTCGGTCGCGCCGTTTCACTGGCCGCCGCGCCAGACGATTCATCGCTCCGCGACTGTGCACCACGCCAGACGAGCCCGATGAGATTGTGGCGCAGTTGTTGGAACGAGCAGAGCTTTGGTGCGGGCAGGCGCGTTCGTTGGTGACGGACTGACTGGGCGATTTCGGACACAGAAACACCCATGTTGGGGGTTTGTTGGAAAACCCTGGACCACCCTTTCACTGGTCCCTGATCAGCAAAGGTAACATTTTCCGGTTTGTGATACAGGGTCAATGACAGTTTGTAGTTTCCAAAAGAATTCCCGGAATCTTCGGTGAGCGCTTAGCTGTGACTGATGTAGAGTCTGAGAGTACTGAGCAAAGTGTGTGACCGCATACCTCCATCTCAACTCCCCAAGCCCCAGGGCTCCAGTCCCGATACCGCAACGGTACCACCATGTATCATGTGGGTGAAACGATGTGCACGACCCTAGGACCAACTGAGTGCCCCGGTTGTTTCCTTGTATGTACATCATAGTGGTATATCTATCCCTGCAAGTCCAAAGACCCAGTAAAACCTGGTCTTTAGCATCCTTAAATATTGTTTTTGTATGACCAACTCAAGTGAAATGAGGTCTTTGACTTGTAGGGTATATGTATATTTGGGAGTCGTTCTAAAACCCATGTAATGTTTTTAGTGGACGAGTGACATTCTAGTTTTTTGAAGTTATGTTTACCTGCAGGGGCGAAAGGATGCGAGAGCGCGGCGAAAGGTTTGGCGAAAGGCTAAACTTGATAGAAATATATCATAGATAATTCATACATGTATGCGCATGTTGTGCATATATCTTGGTGTCTAAAACAAACAGAGAGAGTGGCTTCTATGCAAGGCGTGATAGGTGGAAAGCTGCAAGGGTAGTGGCTCAGCATGATTGTAGGATAGATCTTGCGCGCACAATGCACACAGTATGACAACAACTTTATGCGCGCGCATGGCCATGCCTGGTGGCTGCCTGGCACAGATTTATCAAAAGTAGAGTTAAGAACCATGGAAGAAAGGCAGCGGCGCAAAGTAGCATGTCAACAAGCTGTTTCAGATTCATTTGTTTCCTTTCCTTTGGTCATTCTCCAACTAAAGCCACAAGAGAAGATTCAAGTAGCAAAAATGCCCAAACCGAACGAGGAAAAACGCGAAAGCGACGCGCAAGGTTGGCGAAAGACGAGCCTGCCCGAAACCATCGGGAGCCCAAATGGGCTAGTCCAGAGTCCACGCCATGTCGCGCATCTTGCTTTTCTTTTCCAGGAATGGGTGAACAACAACTGTCCCGAAGCCAAGCGCCCCAACCGCAACACCACCAAAGCAAGGAGAACCAGACTCCATCATGAACAGGTTTGAAGGGCACAAACGTCGAAAACTGCAAGTGCCAAACCTCATCAGTGACTGGGAAAAAACTGCAAGAAATCATGCGAAACAATTACTTCGAAGACGGAGTCGATGGCAAGAAAAGAAGCAAGCTGCAACGAAAGATGTCGCCTCCAGCAGTAGCAGCAACAGCAGTTGCAGCGCAGATGGCTAGGACAGTGATGAACGCCCATGAAGGAGAAAAGATCTACCGAGCGCCGCCCTTGGAATAACGGGAACCAAAAGCCAAAGTTATCCAGAATCCACAATCCACACTCCCCAAAGTAGCAGCGACACATTTTTTGTTGCATATACGATGGATGCACTTTTGTGGCTCTACTCAGATCCTCCACCGAAAACGAAATAACGAAAATAATATCATATATCCTAATACATTTTACATTGGGGGCGAAAGGATGCGAAAGATCCGCGAAAGCGCGGCGAAAGAACACTTTTGGGAGCCATAATTTTGAACAACCCCCATATGGAGACGGGTCAAATCCTGGAGCCCAACCGGTCCGTTGGTTACCCTAGGCCTCCAGTCGTACCTCCTTAGAAGGTTCTATGGGAGTAATAGCCTCTTAGAACGCCTTTCCATCTGGAATTTTCAGCGGAATCGGAGTCAAAGCAGGGTTTGAGCAGTCCGTTGACTGCGCCGGACTCTTTCTTCTCTGCAGGGCAAAGGAGCTTGAAACCTTTGCCACACTCAAATCCAACTCGATGGGAAGAGCTTGACCTTCATATTTTCCAGCAAAACTGATGGAGAATGCTGATGCTCATGCCCCTTGGCCCGCCTTTGTCTCAGCCAGGCACCAAGCGTGGAGGGAGTCCTGCCAGAAGATGTTCACCAGGCACTGCAGCTGCAGCTCGGAGATGAAGCGTTTTTTGCTCCAGGTCCACGGAAACAAGTCTTTCCCCTTGATCCCCTCGAATGATAAGGCTGCAATAAGTCATGTGATTTACATTCAGCCGTCCTGCATGGAAATTGGTTGATTGCAGTTAGGGTCTAAGGTTTCTATGCGGGGGCTTTGAACGCTGCTCATTTGAGGTCTTGAAAAGGCATTTTTTACCCATCACTTCTACCTGGACCTTCCAAGCCCGGTGGTTTTTGGGACACCCCTGAGCCTAAACTCAAAGAGTCTATTTGTTAGACACCTTCGTTGAGGAGGGTCCTTATAGGCCTGCAAAGATGGTCATGTTCACTGTCAGGAACCTGGGGAATTGATGTTTGCTTGCCAAGAGAGGTAGAGACGACCTGAACTGGTAACTAGTAATTAGTGCTCCCCAAATAGACAGCGGTACGGTTTCAATTGTGTTCTTGGTGGGGATCTACTTTTCTATCTATTTGGGGGTCTATTATATAGTTACGTTATATAGTTGTACATATGGGATAGGCTATAGATGACCCTCCAGTTGACCGGTCTTCCCTGGGTGTTTTTCGTGGATTCCCGGTGGAACATGTGGACCACCTAAATGGTTGGGTGCTGCAGCATGTGTTCTCTTGACCGGAAGTGAAGTGGTACATGACCGCTCAATGTTGATGGTTGATTCATACCACCACCCCAAACTTTGATTGATAAACCAATGTAAAACCTCTCCATCACCTCCCGTTGCGGTCTGTCCTGAGCGAAGTCCCCTGTTAGGACAAGACACGCATCACTGCGGACACTCATGGTCTCACAGCGCAATTTGTACATAGAAGAAGTGAACCAACAACTACGAACACACATGCAATCACCCGGGAGAGTGCAGAGGGATCTCCCAGGATGACAACAACTTTGAACAGCCAGCGTCCATCATCAAGGCCAGACCCTGTAATTCATCTGTACGAAAAAAGGCGATCGGCACCGACGATTGCTCCTTGTGGAAACGATCGGCCTTCTGATTTCCGAGTCTGTAAACATGTCTGTAGCCAGGAAAGACCTGGTGGTCAGGAAGTTTACCAATATACACAAAAATCCTGCGTAGCCAAAAGGACAAATCCCGAAGAGTGATACTGTCGCCACTGCATGCTTCAAGAACAAATCCACGCTTGTCAAATAAAAATGCAAGTTCTGAGGTATCTAAGGCCCCTGAAGACCGCCAAGGAAAGTCTTGAATGTTCTGGTTCCAGTTCCACCAAGCGAATCGACGCTGGAGAGAAAAAGCACTGTCTTGAACAGCCGGTTCCTCAACAGTAGCGGAACCGGAAACTTCCGGGGTTGATAACTCATTGAGTTGAGCCAGAAAAATTGTCGCTGAAAAATAGAATGTTGAAGCTTTGAAAGCATCTGTTCCTGAATAGGCAAAAAGGCTGTAGCAACTTGTTTTGCAGCTGCATCGGCAATGCGGTTGAACAAAATATTCCGGACAGTTGTGCCGTGAGCAGCAGCAAATGCTGGAATGATGAGGGACTCCGGGAGGTTGTCCCCCACATGTGAAGGAATCCAAAACACACGCACTTCTGGCGGGCTTTATGAAGGCATGGCTTTCTTTGTTTAGCTTCGGCTTTGCCCAGCCTGGTCCATCATTATGCGTGTGATCTCACTGGAGGTGGGAAACTCGGGGAGGCTGTGACTAACACATAGGGTGGAAGATGGTGGAAGTGAACATGGAGCCAAACTACTCGATGTCCTGCAAAATGGCCTCCATTCCCTAAACACTCCATGTGATTGGAAGAACATTTGAGCCCTATACCATGAACCAACTGATCGGGATATATAGATATGCCAGTCCCAATGGGACAGGGTCGCCGTAACGGATTTTGTACAAAGAACACCTTTAGTTGCCCACTGTCCATCAAGTTCTCCAATTATCCCGGCAAGAGATCCCAAACGGTGTGTGTGAGGTCTAGAGGTGTAGCAGGAGAAAGTCTAGTGTGACCACACAGTTTCGGGAAAAAACACCACAGGCACTGACAGACACTCCCACGGATCGTTTGAGAGCGCTAAGGATCCAAGAACATCGCCAGAAGCTGCTGACGCTGCAAAAGGTGATGTACGCTGAGGCCACCCGGTGATGTTTGTTCTCAGCGCGGAAGGAGATTAGCGCATTTTTTGTTCAAAACTGTGTGTTGTTTTTTTTGCAGGAACAAAAACGTGTTTTTCCCCCAAAGACCCAGGTGGGAGCGTTCTTTTTTCACGGAGGCTTGTGCAATTGAAAAAGACACCTCTGAGGTGGGAATTTTGATGGTGGGAGGATGTGTCAGGTGCGACAGATTCGATGACCTCGCACTGGTCGCGGCTCTAGCTGGTCGCCGAGAGCCAGGGGATTGTTTCGTTCCCAAAGAGGTTCTTAAACCAAAGATGCGTGTATACGACGTGTTGTTTTAAAGCGGTTGATTCTGACCTGAGTAGAAATGATTAAAAATTAACCTAACAATTGATTCTGACATTAATAGAAATGATTCCAAGCCAAAGCCAGTGAACAGCAAAACCTTGGATGGAATCGACTCAATGGATATGGGTGGAGGAGGGTGGGTCAAACCTCTCTGACTCTGGATAAATGCTCAGATATGCTCGGATGCATTCAGATGCCCTGTAAGAAGAAAACACATACGACACCTTCATTCAGTCGAGTCATTGTGGAGAACTCAGGTGATGCTGGGTTTGGGAGAGCATCCGCAGCAGCGTGAGGCGCAGCATTGGTATGGAAGAGACATGCTGAGGCTTGTCCCAATCACAAGTATCATCAAATATCCATTTCCCTCAAGTTCGAAAGTGAAGTCAATCTGGCACTACATCATCTATACAGCCACACCTATCTAGTAGACAGTGTGTGATTACCGACGGAATCCATGATTGCATGATCTACCTGAGCATCTGACAGGCAGAGTCAGATGGCTGCTGCCCCTTCGTACCCTCCACCACCCAGTGGGCCCTTCGTACCATGTTCCGGCCCGGACGTTGCAGGCTGCGCACTGGTCCGCGTTACAAGCGCAGATGCAAACGCTCTTCACCAGTTTGGGCTGGACATAAGAAAAATATGAAAAAAGAGGGGTCTGCAGTTTGGCAGTTCGGGAGGGGTCATTGGCCCGTTGGGCTTTGATGTGCTTGGATGCCGGTACGGTAAGTTAATAGAGAGGATACCTGGCACCGACTCCTCTATTTTCCCCAAAGGATCTCGTTGATTGACACATCACTTTGGGGCGGCCTATGGATCCACCTTTTCCACGAAGCTACGCCCCCGACTCTGGCAGGGATTTGAATCACCATACCTCAGAGGGTATGTGGATCGCAGTTTAAAAGAACACACATATGAGATGACATGAGATCAAGCCTGCAAGTCACTAAAGAGTATGCCTGGCTCCAGAATTCTTCAGCTCAGCAGTGCAGCTCGTGCGGTGCATGCGTCTGTTCCTCGTCGGGAGCCTGGGCAACGTTCGTGGGGTCGTCATGGTGCGGAGCCTGTCCCACTGCACCATCCATGGTCTTGGAGCGAAGTCTTTTTTGGGGTCAGGTGACCCTCCCAGAAGCTCTTGGCTGAGATGGTCTGGAAAGATCGTCGCCCCTCCAAAAGCCTCACGTGGGAAGATGGGCCGCTCGACCTTGACTCGATGACAGCATCACACGCTGCAGGCGTGGCTTGCCCTTCAGCTCCACGATGGAGGACGTGTTGGAGTTCTTCCGCGCTGCAGGTGGGGCAGCACCTCGACTGGACAAATCTGGCCGGACATGGTGGAGAATGGCAGATGAATGCAAATCATACCCCAACGAAAAGAAGAGGAGTGGGAAATCATGGGAGATCACTCCTGAAGGGAACATGTTGATTGCAGAATTGAGTGCCATGACCCACCGGTCGGCATTTGCTCACCCGTCGGCACCAAACATCACGCCCAAAACGGCCGTGCAACGGCGGCGCTTTGCATGAATGGTGTCATTGTGAGTGACAGGTCTCACCGAGCAAAGACCCTGTCAGGTCACTGTTCGTCGACGTTGCGACTACAATTTCCAAACTTTGGGGATGGGTCGGAACCCCAAAAATGAAGAGACTAAGACTACCAGCATCAACCTGATAGAATGCTACGGAAGAAGCACCAAACTGAGAAACCGATAGTCGAAGAACTGCAAAGCGGACTTTTCGTTGCCGGTGCCAGGCTATGGTGTTGAGGCACATCACGTCGGTACCTCAGGAAGGGAGAGTGAAAGGAGAGTGGATTTGAGGAAGTGCACTGAGGGTATTTGTGTGTCAGGCTTTAACCTTTCCAAAAGGTTCACCTTTCCAAAAGGTTTACCTTTCCACAGGTTTACCTTAGAAACAACAATTTACTGTAATTGGTTGTTCAAAGGTTTAAGACCTTTCAAGACCTAAGACCAGACCTTTCCACAGGTTTATAGGGGACCTTTCCACAGCTTTCTCAACCTTCAAGGCGCCCAACATCGGCGACAGATGGGACCGGTCATGTCCCATGGACCTGGTACTGGTCCATTCAGGTCCAAGGGAGAGAACTAACATGTGTCGTTCCACGTTCCATGTTCGATCTCTTATATACAGCAATATACATGCATATTAGATCATATATTAGAATATATTAGAGTATTTGTTGGTTGTGGATGACTTCTATGCGAGAAGTGAGGAGGGATCTTACTTCGGATAGCTTTGGCGTTTCTGGACAACGGGACAGTCTCGTCTGGTGCTTTCAGTGTTTCCGCGACACAACGGGACATGAAAGGTTGGTGACAAACACGTATTTACACGCTGCAGCATCCCATCCCACCCCCAGGTCCACTTTGTGATGATAGGAGATGCCTTTTTGATCCTTCTTTCAACTCACCCAGTCAATGGAGAAGCATCTGTTCGCGAGAAGGAAGATGTGCAGACACACTGCATGCCTGACCCGCGGGGGCTGGGGGGGTTCGAACGAATGCGTTCTCCTTCTGGACAGTGCCGGCCAGCAGGCCGTTCACCGATGTCCGGCCTCGGGAGGTCCGGTCCTTTGGCTTGAAAGGTCTACACCTGATTCATTCAAAAGAGTTTATAAAGACTTCCAGTGACCATCTGAGAAGGTGGGACTGGGGTGGGTCCAGTCACACCCAGTGTCACACCCTCATACCTTCTGAGGACGTACGACTGGAGGTGTAGGGTTAAAAGCAGTTTTGAAGCTTATTCCAGTGCACCACACATGTCCACACCACAGGGTAGGGACCACATTCTTTTTGCCATCCTCCGCAGGTCATGTTTCTTCAACATCCAAATGGACGCCCCAGAGGCACCTGACGCCTTGAACGCGGTCTCACGCGTGAGACGCATCACTGGTCCTCCATCCGTTGATCCTCTTTCCGTCGGTGCAACGGGATCCCAAGGGCAGACGCTCCATGTTTCCACGCCCAACCAGTCCCTCAGACTCCGAGATCCCTCGCGATTCATGGATAGTCCGGGCCGGGGTCAACGGATAGACCCGGCGATCCATGGGATTGGTGAGACACCGAGTCTCACCCCTGACCTGTCCCTATTGACCGAATGTTTTGAGAGGAATGAGGGTCCTGGTTTGGAGTCTCCCCCCAGGGCAGGGCAGTCAAAAGGAGTTGCTACCTTTTGTGGCATGGGTGGGGACTTGCCTATTGAAAGGGGTGTGTTGAGAAGGGTGTGTCTATGGAGGCACAACCTAGTACTTTTGAGTCTACACTCCGACTCACTCACATGGAAGTGGATGGTCCCTTGGAAGACTACTTTCCTTTGCGAACAGGGGGTTTTCCACTTCCATGTGAAGTGTTCGTCCCAGTGTATATTCTTTCTTGAGTTCAGCCTATATTCAATAGTATTGGGGTGATCCTGACGCCAAAAGGTCTAAGAGGGCCATTGGACCAATCCATTTTTGTCCCATATGTTTCCAACTTTGTACCGGGAGCCCCACAGGGCCCATCAAACACCTGGGTTTTCCCTATAAGCAACAAAAACTGGTTTTGGTTTGTGAAACCTTTATTTTTGCATGGTTTTGAGGGCCCCTGGTATATACTATTTGTCATGCAACCTTCTTCCTGATCGCTCAAAGCCTCGCCTCAAAACGCTTTGCCCTCCTCTTGGGGACTTCAAGGACAGATCAAACAAAATCCCAAGCAACGCCCTGTGGAGTCACATGCAGGGGTGATTTCAGAGTCAACCTGAGAGCATTGGCTGCGAAAAAGACAGACACTTCTGGAAATCAACAACAGCAGATTGGCATCCGCCTGCGACCGCAAACCCTTCGGAAGTGCTAGGGGACCAACCGGACAGATGTCAATGGCTGATAAAGGCCAGCAAGTCTCATGCTAAAATGATCCAAGACACTGGAACTTCTGAAGCGTTCAGCAATCTTCAGCAATCTCATTTTCCGGTTTGTGGTGATGGGACCAATCTCCCCACATGTCTTCTTCGTGCCAGGGTCCACTCGGCAGACCCGCACTTCGATCGTCAGCATCCGGATGTCCACAGTGCGCAAGATGTGCAACTCAGACACCATAAAGACCTTGAGCAACACCACCCTGACCTGTTGACCTGTTTCCCCAGACCATGAGCACATCATTCCTTTACCAAACCCAGACCTTTTCGTTCGCTCACCGCTTCACCGCCATGAGAGAGTGAGCCATGGAGGCTCCGCGCAAGAGGCCGAGCGGATCGACGCGGTCGGCTCGAGCCGTTGATCGCATGAGGTGGAGAGTTGGAGCCGGGTGCTTTCACGCGGCTGCCTGGGCGGTTTTGGGGCGGATCAGAGGCCTTTCTTTTTTCTTATTTTCCCCCCAACCTGGTGAACTCCCCCGATCTGGGAGAATCGTTTTTTCCAGGTTCCCCCATTCCACCCATGACCCTCAGGGTATCGATGCTTGTCGGTTTTGGCTTGTTTGTTTTCGGGCAAGAGGAACGAGGGCTCCTGAGGGTACCCACCCCAATGCAACATTTGGCAGAAGGTCTGTGGTGTTTGTGGCTTGCAGCTTTGAGGGAAAGTTTACAGGGTTAGTCAGTATTCTTGCAGTATCTTCCCTTAAACCCGTAGGGTTGATTGGCTTTGAGGGTTTGTGTTGATATAATTATCGAGTTGTGACATCTTCCCCTTGACGCTCCACAACCCGAACCGGTCTCTCGGAGGAACCGGAAACATTTTACTCTCCCTGGAACTAACATGGAAGTGGAAAACCACCTGTTTGTAGTGGAACATGGTCTTCCAAGGGGCCATTCTCCACTTCCATGTTAGTTCCAGGGAGTGTAAATCATTTGAGTCTATGAGTTCATGAGTGACCCGGGTCCCAACTCATATAAAATGAAAGAAAAGGAGTTCGGTTGGCCTGGTGTGGTAGTCTAAAGTTCTTAGTATACGGATGGTTGTTCAGGAAATCTCAGCATTGAAACAATGGTAGGCCAGGAATCCCAGGGTATAGATTAGATTCATTATCCCACGCCATATCACACCATGCATGTATGACATATTTGCCTACATTGGGGTGGTGCCATGGGGGTCAATATACAATATATTCCAGTCCCATGGATGGTCTTGGCATGCATGAGATTCAGTGAAATCTCCATGCTGGACGAACTTTCTGGTGCTGGACCCAGGCCATCAAATGGGCTCCATCTTGTTTTTAACCTTGGGAGTGGAAAACCTGGACCTCCACATGATTGGACTGAACCCTACATTGACTGAACTCAACCGGTCATGACTCGTCCCATCCAGGCGCCGGCTGCGGCCCATCCAGGTGGGACCCGGTGGTTCGAAGAAACCGGTCGAGTGGGGTTTGGTTCTACTGGACTGGTCTGAAGATTCGGTGGGTTTGAGCTCACTCTCATGACCCTCAATGGCCCATGAAACATCTCCAGGTGTTCACAGACCACACGAAAAACAAGCGAACTGTGTTTGACAGCTCGCCCCAACAAAAGCCCTTCCACATAGGAATGATATGGTATGATGTGGGGTGCTAGAAGGTAAAGCTTTTCACAGACCAAAACCCATTTTTGTTAGCAACAAGGGAAAACCCAGGTGTTTGACGGGCCCTGTGGGGTCGGAATCTGCCATGGACCAACCACCTACCCGCGAACGACGGTCGGAGAGGAGGTCACCCGGTCGTTCCTGGGGTGTGACCGGGTCGGACGGTCGAAGCAATCCGGTTCGGGAGCGCCTGGGTAGGCTGTGACTAGGCTGTGCGACCTGGTCTGCAACTTCGTGCGTTTGCAGACCAGGTCGCAACTGTGACACGCTACTCTATAGGTGAGTTGACCAGGTACGATCGCCTAGAAGGCCCTCGGAGTTGGTCAACATTCGAGTAGGCGGTGCGACGGATTCAGGAATTAGGGGAACGGATGCAGGATATCTATGCGCAGTGGAAGTTTCTACCAGATGAAGTGGCGAGATCACATGGAGTGAGTGAAAAGGGACCCTTCTCCAAAAAACACCACCCGAGATCCTTCCCCTCCCCTAAGAATCCTTGGGCCCTCGATGGTAGGGGTCGGACCCGACACCTCCCGAAGCAAACCCTATGTGTTGGATTGGGCCTGAGACCCTTCTCCTCGTGCCGTGTCTTTTGTTCTTTTTCCGCTCTGGATCTCCGCCAGAACTTGGATTTCAGTTTCCTGGAGGCCAGGCGCATGTGGTGATGGTGGGCATGCTGAGTTCGGCTGGTTCTGGTGCCGTAACAAAACAATTGTTTACAGTGGTTTCAGAATAGATGGC